GATCCCATCAGTTACAGCAAATCTTCCAGGTCCTGAAGCAGCAGCACTGCCCCAAACCACTGCACTACCACTACCATGTCTGCATGTTGTTTTGATGCTCTGAAAACTCTGATCTCCCCACGAAACACCTTGAAAAGGTGATCCATGCTTTTATTACCTCTCAGTTGGACTACTGTAACACTTGGCATGCTGGTTTGGATAAATCTTCTGTGCAGCTCTCACAGCAGCTGCTCCTCTTTGAACAGGTACTAATACGTGAATCTAACAAAAGTCAGGTCCTCTGGACGGATTCTTCTTGTCTTTTATCCAAAAGACTTCATCAGTCCGAGGAGCCACAACAAACTCAGTCTTATAAATAACACCTTCACATGGTGGATCATCCAGTTGCTGACAGCCAGAACCAGCTGTTCACATGATAAAGGACCATCAGACTAACGCCCGATCGTTAGTGCCGATGGCTGTTTGCTATTCACAGGAGGCTGAGTGATACTAGCAATAACAGCGTTGTAAGAGGGGGACGTGTGGACACGGAGACCTCCGCTCCTGTTTAATGATGGACGATTTCTCTTCACAAAGATATGAAAACATGATGTGATGTTTCACCTTTGTGAAGAGAACCCGTTCGTCACTAAACTGTTAAATCATCGTTAAAGTTTTAAAAGGTCTGGCCCCATTATATTTATTTGATCTCTTTCAGATTTAAACTCCGGTACGTGCACTCTGGTCAACCAACATCTGAGATGTTCATAGATCAGAAGTGAAACACAGACGTGATCGGGTGTTTGAAACGGTGGAACAGTTCACCTGATCATTTAAAGACTGCTAAGACTAGAGACTTTTAAATATTTGCTCAAATCCCATCTTTTGTCGGGCGGCTGTGACCGAGTGGTCAGAGCAGTCGTCCTCCAATCAGAGAGTTGGGGGTTCGATTCCACCAGCAGTCACATGCTGAAGTGTCCCTGGGCAAGACACTGAACCCCTCATTGCCTCTGAAGTGTGTCCCTTCAGTGTATGACTGTGAAGAATCTCTGATTGTTCTTTGTAGAGCTCTAGAGTGTATGAACGAGTAAATGAGGCACAGATTGTTGTAAAGAGCTTTGTGTCTTGATCAGATAGAAAGGAGCTGTATATAAGTGCAGTCTTCATTCAGGCAGAGTTTGAGAACCAATAAGCACAGATTCTGTTCATAACTTTTATGGACAGAATTTCTAGGCGCAGCCAAGGTGTTGAGGGGATCTGTTTTGGTGACCTTAGGATTGCGTCTCTGCTTTTGCAGATGATGTGGTCTTATTGGCTTCATCAGGTCGTGATCTACAGCTTTCACTGAAGCGGTTCACAGCAGAGTGTGACGCGGCCGGGATGTAGATCAGTTCCTCCAAATCCGAGGCCATGGTCTTGAGCCGGAAAAGGGTAGAGTGCCCTCTCTGGGTCGGGGAGGAGGTCCTGCCCCAAGTGGAGGAGTTCAAGTATCTTGGGGTCTTGTTCACGAATGAGGGAAAAATGGAGCGTGAGATCGATAGGCGGATAGGTGCAGCGTCTGCAGTGAAGCGGGCGCTGTACAGGTCTGTCGTGGTGAAGAGAGAGCTGAGTCAAAAGGCGAAGCTCTCAATTTACTGATCGATCTACGTTCCTACCCTCATCTATGGTCATGAGCTTTGGGTTGTGACCGAAAGAACCCACTCAGGAGAAGGCCCAGAGGAAGACCCAGGACACGCTGGAGGGACTATGTTTCTCAGCTGGCCTGGGAACGCCTCGGGATTCCCCGGGAGGAGCTGGCCCAAGTGGCTGGGGAAAGGGAAGTCTGGGCCTCCCTACTTAAGCTGCTACCCCCGCGACCCGACCCCGGATAAGCGGAAGAAAATGGATGGATGGAAGCGCTGCATGTTTGTTTTTCCATTTACCCTTTATTTATACAGGTAGTCTCATTGAATCACGAGGACTCATTTTCAAAACAGACCTGTTTTGGGGAGCAGATGGGGTGGGGGGGGGGGTTTTAAGGGCCTTGTTCAAGGACCCAGAGTGGGGCAAATGAGGGTGGAGGCAAGTGTGGGTGTTTCAGCTTTCCCACCCACATTTTGATGCTGTTGGTACAGGGAATCGAATCGACAACCTTCCAATTACAGGCCCACTTTCTCTAACCTCTGCACCATCACTCCCCCCATTGACATTATGTGATGTTATTCTGGGCTGGACTTCTAGTCCGAGTCATGATGTGCACTCCTGGGATGCAGTCACTGCTGCTACTGGTCCACTTCTCTTCTTTACAGTTCACATTACTGAGACCAGCACAGTGTCGGTCACTTCACTAAAGCTCGACTCTTTTTGAGTCACAAAAATATGTTCACCCCAATTCTGAAACAGATGAGGCAGGCGCAACAAAAGGCTGACAAAGTAAATGGTGCAAATAAAAAACGAGGAGCGTTTGGCAACACATGAGTTATTAGTCAACAGGTCAGTAAGAGGACGGTCCTGTCTGAGAGGCTGGATCTGTGTGTGTCTGAAAAGAGCTGAATAAAGTCAGACTCATAAAAACACTTTGAACATGTTCATGAACGTGCAGAAATCTCTGAGCTCGCAGGACAACACTGAAAGACAGTGCTGGAAATCCACCCAGAGTCCAGAAGATACTGTCCACACAGGAGCCAAACATGGGGAGATAACTGAGAAAACAACAACAACAACAACAACAACAACAACAACAACAACAACAACAACACCACCAAAACCTGTTGGCTTAGTTTGAGAAAATATTTGACACTTCCACATTCATGTATGTCCACTCCTCCAAAACCAGCCACCCATCATTCCTTGCTGGGTCGTGGGGGGTCACTGGTACCCATCCAGCCATCACTGTGTGAGAGGTGGGGACACCCTGGACAGGTCTCCAGTCCATCACGGGGACACCCTGGACAGGTCTCCAGTCCATCACGGGGACACCTGGACAGGTCTCCAG